TTCATATTAGTTTTAATTTTAAAGAGTTATGCAAAATGAACTAGTTTATAATGCTTCAGTAATTAGAGAACATGGAACTACATTTTTCATAGAAAAACAAATATATAGTCCATTAGTTGGCAGACAGACATCTGTATCACACAGTAGATGGGTCTGTTAATTGTATAACTGATGACACTTGGACAAGAGTTAACTAGAAAAACACCCCCAATACATAAAGAAACATGTTATGGAGACTACCTGAAATATGTTTCCACGGCACTAGTATACTGAAGACTATTCTTAAAAATATACATATTCTTAAAAAATAAACAAAACCCCCACATTCTGCAAGCAACACCTCCTCCCAGAATTCACCCCTCCCCTCTGGTCATAACATGCTCCTCTTGAAGTTCGGGGTTTAAGGACATCACAGGTTGGAGTCCTGTTTCATATTTTAGAAACAAGCACAGCATGGTATCAGACCGACACTACTAGTTCCTCTTTCAAGCACCAGGCTACATGGCTGGTCCTTACTAAAGCGCTGGTTCTGGATCCCCACCCAGAATGACAATTCTGGTTATTCCGGACAGCAAAGACCGTACTTCATGTTGCTCTAGGAGAAGCTGAGAACTATAGAGAATATCTGAATACATGACTGTCAGCTAACAGGAGACTGTAAAGCGAGAAGTTAAGGACAAGCACTTAAGCAAAAGAATGAGAGATAAGAATAAGTATTATCCCAAAAGAAATACATGTCGTGAAAGCAAAGTAACATTATAAAAACATTTTGTACTTTTAAACTGATCTGGTATAGAAATACCTTCCCTGAAAAATGAATGAAAGAACACTAAACCCAAGGATATGCTAAAATCTAATGAATACACATCCTAATAAATGAGTAAAAGAGCTGAAATCAAGCAGCTTTTTGTACCTTTTGTTTCTCCAGCTGCGCCTTTAGTTCCATTACCTTTCTTCCCATTGGGAAAATATTTTTCAAATCCTATCAAGAAAGAGTTAGAAAGCAAGTAACCTTTAGTTTACAATTCTATCATTACACCTCAGTAGTCACAAGCTGAACGTATACTACAAAAAAAGAAGCAAGCAACACAACTACAAAAAAATGAACTTATTCTTGCCTTGTTGTTGAAGAGCTCTCCCAGGTTCCCATAAACAAATCTACTACTGATATAAAAAAAATCAGATGTATTTAATAACTGAAGTTGTCCTTTACACCAGACAGACAAGCATAGTTGAACAGAAAGTTGCATGGCTTAATATTAATTTGAACAAACTGAAGTCACTCTTTATGGCGTTTTTAGGAGCTATTAAAATCAATGCTCCATCAATGGCTGGTTAATAAGAGAACTTACTGCCCCACAGACAACAAACCTAAATGGTACGCAACCATGCACAGTCCTCAGCAAGACAGGCTGTCTGCTTCATGCGAGTCACCCTCACCTTTGGGAGGCTGAGAGAAGAGCCTTCTGCAAGCAGCAATTACACTCGCCAAGACCGTACTTCTGTCAGTAGTAACACCGCTGGTAACTTCTTCACGGAACTGAAAGATGAAAAATAAATATAAAACAACAAGAAAGTTCAGTGAAGTCTTCAAGCTCTCTAACAGGTATTATAAGGTCTGTTGTAGAGTTCTGGTAAAGAACTGCCGCAGTCCAGAGAGTAAGAGAACAATGAAATAAGGAAAAAGCAATCACATTGATAATCTTTACATTTGCAGAGATTTGTCTCACAAAACAAAGAGCACAATACTCTTTAGTAAAACAGAAAAATCAAGCAGGAAATGCCACAAGGTACAACCACGCACACTGATGTACACCTGTACACTGATGCTACAGGAAGTATTTCGTAATACCCCCTGAATGCTACTTAAGTGCAATGTTAACTGTGACTGTGCAAACACGACCTACGCAGTACTGGATTATTTTTCATGAAAGAACTGCAGTTTTTTCCAAACAGTTAAGAACACAACTACTGAATATGAAAAATCTGCTTGAATCCAAAAGGACACATCAGTCAGTGCTTAGGTCTAGCTAAGAAACCAAGGCATGGAAGGAGTGACACCTCAGAAAGAGGACCTAAACCCCTGTATAGGTGGAGATCTATTAAAAAACAAAGATATTTGCCATTTAAGTGCAACAAAGAAAAATAAAAGTAAATGACTAATTCTTAAGGAAACTTTAGGCATTGTTACCAAATGTTTTAAAACAGTGAAAGCTAATATTATTACAGAGTTCAAACTTCTTTCCTTCTAGGACATACTTCAAATTCCAAAAACAAACACACACTTTATCCCCTTCCTAAGCTTTCCCATCACTTCTAAAAAATTCATATCAAGACTTCCCCAGAGACTGAATCCTCTTATGTCTTCTCATGAAATTAACTTTATTACTGTCTCCGTTTCCTTTTGCCCCAAAGGAACGCTCAGTCCCCTGTTATTTTTGATCAGAAGCTATTTACCTGAGAAATAGTAAAAACCACACACAACAGAGAGAGCAAAGCTCAATGTTAGTATCCCCGTAACTATTTTGTTTTATTTCAGTGGCTACAGACAACACCTGTGAGCTTGCAGGATACTAGCTTACATGCTGAGTCTACCCTAGAGATACGGGCACATCGTAAATTAAATTCTAATTCTCCTGAAGCCTTCTGCCTGGGAGCTTCCCCTTCCATGCCCTGCCAACTGAGGAAATAGCACGGAGTTATTGTGAGCAGTCATCTAGTTCCACCTGCTGGAACCTCGAGGAATGCCAAAACGTCCTTGTTTATTTTGCTCTAGACTGAGGTCAGGGGAATTCTTCAGCCGCTTGGCACAGCCAAGGTGTGTCTTTAAGCAAAGGCTGACACTGGAAATACAAAAAGGTATTTTACTGATCATATAAAGCACGTGCAGTGCAGATAACCCAGAAAACTGCTACTCTAGAGAACAGCCAGCAGGGCCAATATGCCATGACCTCCAACAGGAGCAATGGCATGCGTGCTTCTTCCTGGGAGAAGCTTTAGGACAAGCGGGATGAAATCTGTGAGGGAAAACAAAAACAGTTTGCCACAGACCAACCCATCTTTAGTTCAAATGCAAACAGGCAGCGAACGCAGCAACTCAAAGATGAAACTTTGAGATGACGCTCAAAGCCATGTCCACCAATACTGGCTTCTGTTCTACATCACTGGGCTCCTACAACAACAAAAAATTGAGATGTATTTATTCAGCAAGCTCAGATTATTTTAATTGGAGTGAAGGTTTATGAATATTCCTATTTCTTTAGAAATAAAAGGTAAAGTAACTGCTCATGTTCAAAAGAAAAGTTTAAGTAAGCCAGATCCAACTGCCTGGCTGAGCTAGGCCAGCACAGGTTTGTTACAGCATTAAGTTACAGTTTAATCAGGTTTAAAGTGAGAGAGGGAGATGGAGGCAGGCAAAGTAGCAGACATAAGCGTTTCAAAGTTGATTTTGTGAGAAAAGGAAGCAACCAGTTTCACCACACATCCAGCAAATCACCTGACCGAGGCTGGGAGGCACACTTCCATCCTGCCTGCTGACTCACCGAAGTCTACCCCCTGCAAAACGCCCTTTCCTTTCCGCAGCATTCCAGAAACGCAGAAGCTGGTAGCAGCACGCTACACACGCGGGGTTATTTCTCTGACTGGGGAGATCGCCAATGTGAGAACCTATCGTGTTGACCCTGCTCTAGGACCTCTCCCTCAGCTGGCTGGCACAGCAGTGCCACAGCAGCCTCAGCTGAGAGCAGCACACCCAGCGCCCAAGCGCAGGGCAGGCAAACAGCACAGGCCTGGGCTGGATGCTCAAGTAGCACCGTGGCTCCGTGGGGTGTGTAGCAGGAGACTCTGCGAGCGTCTCCCAGTCGGAGATGGAAGAGCTGTCAAAGCAGAGAGACAGCACATGCAAACACCCTGGTAGTTTGGTATTTCAGACAAACCTTGTGACAGCTGCCTGAAAATTAAGGCTTTGTTTTAAATGGAAATTCAAGATAAGCAAGTTTGAAGTATGCCAAAATCAGTCCTACAGCTAAAACACCCCAGAAAATGTTGGTACTCCTCTACGTAACAAACACACGACCTCTAACACCCAAGAAAGGCCTTCTCCACAATTCCAATGTTCAGCAAAATAAATCTTAAACAGAACTACTGACTGCACACAAACACTGTGATCATCGTCCACGTGTTGTTTCTTGTTTGAATCAGGGACACACTAAGCAAGAACAGAAAATCCACTTTCAGTTGCATAAGCAAAAGATCAAGAATCCACTAATTCAGAAGAGTTGCGAGTTTACAGCTTTATCCCTAGACAAGGTCCAAGTCAGAATTCTTAAATGGAACAGAAGGTTAAGGGCGAAGTTACCTCTAGCACCTAACAGACTCCAAAATACTACATCAAATTATGTTGCGGAAGGAAAAGAAAACTGATACAGAGATCTAATTTTAGGTGACTTACTTATTTTGTTTTGCTAAAAGCTGTTACTTTTTTTAAAAAACCTTTCTTAACAATATATATACCCTTGTTTTGCTCCTCATAGAACCACAGGGCCGTTGAACATCGCAATTCCAGCATTAAAAACAACAAAAGCAGCGACGCGGCGATACAACGGCTGCCCAGCCCCAGCCCCAGCCCCAGCCCCAGCCCCAGCCCCAGCCCCAAGGCACCCCCCTGCCCTCAGCACCCGGCCCCGCGCCCCCCTCACCTGCAGCAGGCCGGGCCTGGCGGCCAGCAGGCCCCTCCCGCACAGCAGCCGGGCCCCGGGCAGCCCCCGGCGGCCGCAACCGCCCCGGGCCAGCAGCAGGTAGCGGTGCGCCATGGCCCCTAACGGCTCCCAACGGCCCTAACGGCTCCTAACGGCCGCCAACCGCCCCCCGGCCCCTCCGCCGCCGCCACAGCCGCCGCCTCGCCCCGCCCCCCCCTCAGCGCGCGACGCGTGACGTCATCACGCCGCCAGCTTGCCTCCCTCCTCCTCCTCCCCCCCCCTCCCGCCGCCGCCGTGGTTCACGCGGGGGGTGACGTCACCCGCCCCGCCCCGCCCCCTCGCCGGCTGCTGGGTGCCGGCGCGCGCTGCCCTGCGCCCGCCCGCACCCGAATTCGCCCCGGCCATGAAAATCTGGAGCTCGGAGCACGTCTTCGGGTGAGCGCCCAAAGCCGCGCGGGCGGGCGGGGGTTGGCGGCGCCGTGGCTGGCTGTGGCCGGGCGGGGGGCTGGGTGCTAACAGCGGGCAGGAGGCTCGGCAGGGGGCTCGGCAGGGCTGCTGGTGCAGGGTGCAGCCGGTGTTTGGCGTTTGGGTTTGGTTTGGCAGTTTAACGCTGCCCCCTCCTGCATCGCGCAGTGGTGCTGTGCGGGTAGGGCAGGGCTGTGAGGTGCCGAGCCGTGTCGCATCGCGGCCCCGAACCCCCCCCCGGGGCTGCTGTGGGCTCCCTGACCTTATCAGCTCCGCTATCTGCTGCTGCTGTGCTCGTGTGGGCGCTGCAGGCAGCGGGGGGAGGTCCTGCAGCCCTCCCCCCCCCCCTTCAGGCTGTGGGATGTGAGGGCGAGCAGCCTCCTCCTGCCCCCTGCCACAAAATATACGCTGGGTTTTGCCCCATCCTGCTGCTTCTCGCCCTTCTGCACCGCCTTTAAGACCAAAAAGTAGCGAGCCGAAAAATGAAATCCCTTTAGGTCAAGTGCGGCTGCTGGCACCCGTAAACCCCCGGAGTTGGGCACCCACAGCGGGTTTGTGGGGGTGCCTTCCAAGGCTGCAGGTCTGCCAGGTACCCCGCGTACAGAAACGGGTCTTTAGGAACAAAATCCCTGTGTTGGATCAAGTCCTTGGTGTATCCGGCCCCTGCTGGGGCCCTAGCCTTGGTACAAGGGTACATGAAGTCCCTCAGCCTGTGGACGGGCTGTCCTCCGGTGGTGGGGCTGCTCTGTCTACATAGCTGGAGATTATCAAAGCTTAATAACCTCAAAACGCTTTTCACAAACCAAACTTTTCAAAACATCTTTCACCAGAACGGTTCTGTACTGAGAAGGGTATCCGTAGCTGTACCTCGTCCTACCAGGCTGCCAAAACCAGCAGGAAAGGCGCAGGCTTAAGGCAGCAGGTTTGAGGTGGTTTCTGAAAATCCATTTCTCTATTTTGAACTTCCTGATTACTTTAAAAAAAAATGAAGTAAACTTCACTTTGTTGTTTTTTTTTGTTTGTTTTTACTCTAGGAGGAAACAGAAGGTAAAAAAGTAGTTGTCCTTTGTTTGGTGTGGGTAACATTACAGAAGCATTCAGGTTGGAGTGGGCTTGTGGCGACATCTAGCCCAGCTTCCCTCTCCTAGCAGGGATAACTCAAATATTGGGCCAGGTTTCTTTTCCAGCTGAGTTCTGAATAGGTGGCAATTCAACAGCCTCTGTGGTCAGTCAACCTTTTTTTTTATATAGCTAATTGGAATGGCACACGTAGCAGCTTGCCTGCTGCCCCTTGCCCTTATTTCTGTTAGTCATGGGTTAATAATTCTTTTCTTCTCTCTGAAGATAGGAATATACGTTGTTTTCCTGTTTGTGTACCAATGCTTTCTCATGGCCTTTCCAAGCATCACTGAATCCTGAAGGAATATTTGATGTGGGAGCTAGGAAATTGTACAGCATGTGTCATGTTGTGAAAGCTCGAGCGGACTAGTTGCTTGAATACTCGCAATTAAATGCAAAATAGTTACAAATGTTGTATTTTCTTCTTTTTCCAGGCACCCCTGGGACACGGTGATCAAAGCTGCGATGAGAAAGTACCCCAACCCGATGAATCCATGTGTGGTAGGAGTAGATGTCCTCGACAGGAGCCTTGACAACCAGGGGAGGTTGCACAGTCACCGCCTGCTCAGCACAGAGTGGGGATTGCCGAGCATTGTGAAAGCGGTATGATTTTACAGGCTTAATGCTTTATTAGGGGGTGTGATGCATTTATGTCATCAGGTGAACTGGGGCTGAATTCAAAGTAAAAGCTTGATTGATAGGAAGCGTCATCCACAAATATCATGCAAGCTGTAATCAGCACAGTTTGTAGCTATAATACATTGTAGGCTTTAATATGCCCACAGTGTTTTTTACGTCTGTACATGCTTTCTAGACTGGTCTGTGTCATTCTGTATGACTGATGCAAATTACCGCCGTGTAATCTTACCACTGATCACAGTGTCTGGGTATTTGAGAGGTGTATTCATTTGGGATTTATGCTTTCTTTTTTGTTGTTTGTTTGGTTTTAGTACTAAACTTTAGTCTTTATCGTTGTCTTTCTTCACTTTCAGATTTTAGGAACAAGCAGAACCCTGACTTACATTGAAGAACATTCTGTGGTAGATCCAGTAGAAAAAAAGATGGAGCTTTGCTCAACTAATGTGAGTGATAGCTTAAGAAGTTTCTGATTAGTAGTTCTGGAGATTAGATGTTTCGTCTCTTAACATCTGGAAATGTGTTTACATCTTTCATTAGAAGGAGGGACGTGTCTTAGTTGGCTCTTTTTTGTTCTTCTTCTTCACAAATACTTTGGGATCCAGCTTATACGATTGTGTTTTTAATAAAATTATTTCTCAGAATGCACGTGACAGCAGGGTAATGTTAAACACATTAAAGTCTATTAACAACAAATATTTTACTTTGAAATGCCTTTTTTCCACAAGTGTAAACGAAGCATTTCCCTAATTTTTGAAGGGAACTCGTACTTATCAGAGTTGATGTAGAGTTATCTGTAGGAGAGCCTGGTCTCTGTAGAAGAGGCATTTTCTTTCCTGAATATTAATTTTCTTTACCCTCAGAATAGTGTTGCAGTGGTCTTGGTCTTAAAGAGCCTCTCTGAATCGCATCAACTAAATCTGATATGGCTCAACATTAACAGAAAACAAACAGAAAACTGCTTGTGCAGCTTACTGTGAGTAGGGACTTAGATGGTTATAATTAGATCTAGGATAGGACAAGATGCATCACCCTGTATAGGTATTTTTATTGACTGTGTTCTGGGTTTCATATTCTGTGTATGCTGTTTTGTCTCTGACATTAAAATGACTGCTCTGCTATTGAGCGGTGCTGTCGATAACGCAAAAAAGTTGGAAGTCAGAATTTCAGGTCTTTCTTTCTCTTTAAGATTACTCTCACAAACTTGGTGTCTGTTGATGAGAGACTGGTTTACACGCCTCATCCTGAGAACCCTGAAAAGTAAGTAAGGATGTTGTGTGCTTTTTTATGTATAGGAGACAGTAGGTTAGTCAAATTCAGTTTAAGTATTAACTTCTCTTTATTCTCTTACAGAACTGTGCTAACGCAAGAAGCAATTATTACCGTCAAAGGCATTAGCTTGAGCAGTTATTTGGAAAGCTTAATGGCAAACACAATATCTTCTAATGCCAGAAAGGTGTGTATCCTTTATTTTGTTTTCTCCCTCTCTCCCCCCACAAACACCTTTTTTATTGTTGAAATCCGAATTGTCAAGCGTGTATGCTGAGTGCTATATTCAATTTCTCTAAACTTTGTGCACAGAATTCCAATTGACTTTTTGTAGGACCTCAGGAAGTAGAATCTAATTTACCAATGTATGAAAAGGTTTCACTACTAAGTATCTGGTTTTCAGCTGGAATTGCACATCGGAACAAACCAACCTCCATGTGTATGCTACAGCAACGCACACCAGAAACATATGATTAGTGCTTTTTTTTTTCTTTTTTCAAAGTACCTTTTTAAACACCAGCCATGTATTTACAGGAGTTAGTGTTAGTAGGTTACTTCCTTTTCAGCCTTTATAATCTGGATTTAGCAGGTAATGCCAGCATATTTTCTGTGCCTCTTTGAATAGCTCCTATCCATTATTGAGCTGTCTCCTTGCCTTTGGCTGAAAGTAGTGTCATATCAGCAGAGGCATATTCTCTGAAGGGAGGAAACTATGCTGGCCTTTGTAGGTAACACTACACCCACTCCTCTGTCTTGTGCTCGCTTTTTCTTTTTGGCCTGCAGCCATAGAGATGAACTCCAGCACAGACAGAGTTTCCAGAGTGCTTGTTCCTGGACACTTTGTCCTACACTTCTTTGGGGGAGGTGGGGAAGAAGTGGAGTTGATGGAGAAGCATTGACATCACTGCCTAGCAGCAGGATGAGTGCAGCTGAAATGTGAGCTTGTGCTCTGCATTGCTGGGGAGGTTCTGCACACTGGGAATTTGGCCCAGGTAACTTCTTCTAGGCCAGAGAGACAGCCCCTTTGTCCCTGTGAGAGATGTTGCTTGACGGAGACAGAGTAACCTGACTTAGTAGGAGGTATTGACCAACATATTAAAGAAGGAGAAAGTCTCCTTTGCCTCCAGTCTTTGTGCTTCTCCAAAAATGAGAGGAAGGCAGCTTAAAATGGGGGGATGAAGAAGGAGCAATGGGTAGTTTTTAAACACTGAAGAGTAACATTACCTAGGTGAGTGCTCTCTGTGTTGATTAGAAGATCATAAATGGAATGTGTTTCAGATAAATTCCAATTCACTTTTGATCCAGCTTCCATTTAAAAGTCTGTGCTGGGCATTTATTTTGATTTTACAACAGTAGTCTGGACTCTGGCTCACAACAAAACCTCAGCCTGACTCAGAGATAGCAAAGCACTAACTTGCTGGAGTGGCCACAACAACTGGGCACGCCTAGAAGTGCCAGCTGATTTCCTCTTGTGGCATCTGTCACATTTGCATGGCTCCACTGAACTCAGAGAAAGTGTGGGAATATTTCTTGGTACCATTCATGTGCTGCTGTGTGAAAGCTCATTTTTTTTTTTTTAAAGCTGTTCCTCTATTCTGCCTCTTTCAAATAACACACTGTCTCACAATATTCTTACAGAGGAAAAATATCATCTCGTTCTGTCTGTTTCCCCGAAGAATTTCTTTACTGATAGTGAACTTGGCAGGAATTTGTACTTGAAGCCCTTTTCTTTGCTACCCAGTAACCTATTCTGCTATTACTAGCTCTTCTGGCATGCCGTGCTACCCTTCTGGGTTCTTAGCACCCTTCTTAAACTTCATGACAGCTGCTGAAATATGCATTGTTTCTGAAGAAATAAGTATTGAGGTTTTTCTCTGAGGTGGAGGTGGCAGATTATGCTTTGTTATTGCACTTACAATGGAAAAATCTTTTGCCCTATGTTGTCGATGTTTTCTGTGTTACTCCAGGGGTGGGATGCTATTGAGTGGATAATTCAAAATTCTGAAAGCGCTCTAAGCTAGCAGTTCTCCACACCTGCAGTTTGCACTAACTAGTGGTAATGCCAGCCTTCTTCTTCTTGGTGCAGCATTTCAGCTTTCTGGCAGACGTGTGCATGGATTGTTGTGACGTGGATGCCATTAATTAATTAACCTGCACGTATGTTTGGTACGCGTTACATACAGGAATGGCAAACGTTCATTACGCTGCAGCTGCAGGGAGTCGGTCACACCTGGACGGGATCAGTTAGCCTGTGCTCGTGTCACTGAACCATCAACCTGCTGCAGCTCTGTCTTGTGCCACGTTATTGCTTGTGGTATGGAAGTGGAATGATGACTGCAAACACCTGGGCAGGGGAACAAGCCCCCCTATCACGTGTTTGCTCTGGTCCTAGTTTGGTGATTCCAGTGTGTAACACAGGTGCCCAGAGGAATTATTAGCACATTGTTTAATGAAATTGGCATGATAAAAACGAAGCAGAATCAAACTCCTAGGATATAAAATTGGTTTCTTAAAACAGGTTGCCTAAGAAGGGTAATCTTTCTCATGGTGCAATTGTATTTTGCTTTTCTTATGCCTGAGGAGTATTGTTGCCCTTCTGTCAGCCTCTGTGGAAATCTGTACAAAGTTTGAACTCTCTTGCTGTTTTTCACTCAATCTGTAGTTATACATGTATTCTTTTTGGTAATGGTGTGTCCCTTAAACTATCAACTGTGACAAAGTCTGACTTCAAGGCTGAGAGGACTGAGTGCAGTTGCCTCTGATGCCTCTGTGGATGGTTTTCCTTCTGCTAGCCAGTGTAGTCTGTCTCTGTCATTCCTGTATTAGCTCACACTTCCACTGACAAGACTAAATTTTAAAAAATAGCCCATCGTGCTGCTTCTGTCTGTTAAGAGTGCAGGGTCTTTGTACACTGCTTACTTCGAGGTCAGTGTATGTAACGAGTGTTTGCTTCTATGTTCTCATTCCACTAAGCTTTGATGGCTGTTTCTCTAGAAAACTGTCAACTACGCAGGCTCAGCATTTATCAACCACTTCAGCTATACCAACAAACCTTCATATGTGGTGTGTGGTCCACTGAACCCATCACGCTGCTAACACGTGCAACGAAGACTAATGTACCCTGCATGCCTGGTTATGAATGTGCTTGCTTAATCAGTTACTACAGAAATTGTTGTGCACCGTAAAACTTTATAGACCAATCCTCTGTCAGATTTTTTCTCAAAACGGGTAGCTCTGCAATACTCGGAGGTTTTACACCTTGTTAAATTTTGTAACTTAATTTCCCATGCAGAATACTCCTGAGACCTTCCTTGCCAGCACCACGAGTTTATTCTTAGCTGCAAATTATAGCAAACAGCGTATGCAGGTCTAAGGAAACATGTGCAGACCTCCGTAGCTGTTAAAGCTGCAGGAAATGTTTTAGCACTCGAGTTGAATGTTACTCTTGCTGTTTTGTCTCCTCAACAAGTAGATTATATTAACTAAAACGCTGTGACCTGGTTGTTTCATAGTCAGGGCCTGAAAAAATCTCTATTTTTCTACTGAGCATTTCTCTGCATCAGAGGTGTTTGACTTTCTGACCAGCTCCCTCTGTGTGATTACATAAATAAAACGTAGAAGGCACTGCTGTCTTACTCAGTTCTCCGTTCCTGTGTGTCACCCAGGAGAGGACATTTTAACCTGACTTGTAAATACCCAGTGCACGCTCGCTGAAAGATGATTCCCTCCCTCTCCCCCCACTTTGTTCCTGATCGAGCACTCTACTCAGCTAATTCATGGCCAGTTACACCGCGTTGCTGTGCAGTAGCCTGCTCTCGTCAGGGTGCTTTTACACATGCTTTGCTGGCGTTCCCTGGTCTCACACAGGACGTAGATGTGGTGGAAGTAATCACCCGCTGAAGCACGATGCAAGTAGAGGAACTCAGAAATTAAACCATGCTTGTGCTCTTCTAAGGAATTTTTCCAGTAGCCCATGCTTAAAGGGGACAGTAGAAACAATTCCTTTTTCAATTTTGTTCATTTTTTTTAAAGGCATATCATATAATAAGAGAACTTGAAGCTATTAGCTCTTGAGGCAGGTCAGGGTACAGACAAATCCCCCTTGCTTGAGCTCTGGCCAAGGGCTGAACGCTCTGTTGTGTTAATGGGTGACTTTTCCCTGTTTAAAGAGCTTGTGTTTATTCTGTGAGTCCCTGTAGAATGAAAAGCCTGAAGGGAACCAATGCTGGCCCTTCTCTGAACTTAATGAGTCTTGAGATAAACCTTTTACTTCCAGAACCCCTGTCTGCCAGTTCATGCTTTCCACTGGTTCTACCTCTTGTGGTCAATGGAGCACAGGTGCTGCGGTGTCTTCTTAAGGCAGAAGACTTCTGACCTGCTTGCTTTGCTGGATTCCACCACTCTTACTAAAACGTAGGCTGCCAGGGCCTGGCTTTGAGGCACTCCCGACCCTTTCTGAGAACTGGGTGAAGAAAGACCGTCCCTTGATATACAGGGTGCAGCTGTTATCTCTCCAAACAGTCTGTTTTATATGCTGAAAAGTCACTGCATGAATACAGAAGTGAGTGCAAGGCCATCTCTTTGAACTCTAGCTAGAGATCAAATCAATCAGCTGCTACGTCAAAGAGAGCTTGGAAGACTGTCTTTCTTTGTCCTGGATCTTCTCAAAAAGTGTCCCTATATATTTTGATTAATGAATCTGCAAACAGTGTGTAGACTCTTCCATAAATTTGCTGGTATTTCTAGGTGGTGGGAGCAGCAAACAGTAAAAATGGCAATCCTCTTCCACAAGGGACCTTAAATGCAGAGTGAGGCTTTTTGCAGAGATGCACGGCTGCGAGCTCACAGCAATATTGCATTTACTTCTTGTTTATGGGTTGCACAGATGCCTTTGCAGTGAAATTTCAGTTAGATGAGAAATAATCAATACAATCCCGTATGGAACCACGCAGGGTACAGAACTAATTTTGAAACAAATCTCGTGTCTGACAGAGGAAGAACTATAGAAGCGTTAGCAGCGACGTTGTGTTTGTTCTGATCCTAAATTTCAGTATTTTCTTGGCAGGGTCGAGACGCCCTGGAGTGGGTGATCAGCAAACTAAACACAGAACTGGAGGAGCTGAAGTCAACGCGCGAGGGCGTGAAACCAGCCATGGCAGCGGCATCAGCAGAAAAATAAAAGCCAAAAGTACCAAGTAACTGACAAAAAAGATATATTATTCTGCCGACTGCTTTATAGATCTCCCTTCCAAGGCTGATCTGCATAGTTTTTATACATTTGTAAGAACATAGGATCAGCAGAAAAGTAACCTCATCTTTCATCTCCACAGCAGCTTCTGCAGCCTACCGAAGGCTGAACTGACCACCTGCAGATGCTCTTTTCATGTAAACGATTTCTTTTAAACACTGGAAACAAAATGTTTAGCACATTTAAAACTGCCTAAATGTGCCTTGTGTAACAAAGATTGAGAGTATGTTATATTTTACACCATCTCGGTTTTTCATACTGAAACTTGAAAAGAACTCGTGTTTGTTGAGGGTTCTCCGCGCGAGCATTTGTTCTGTGAAGGGCCCATGGGTACTAGAGCACTGAATTTTGTTTGGTTTGTAACCTGGCAGCATCTTACAACCATTTAAAGGGAACTACATGAGACAGGACGTGATACTCTAGAGCAAGATACCTATCTAGAGAATCATCCCCAAAAGCTAACACTTGTGTGATGCTAACTCTTCTTATGTTGTTTAAATGTACTGTCTGAACGTGACGGATGCTTTACCTCTTAGATGTTTATATCCCAACGAAGACAAAGTTTCTGTCGATGTTTGATGTTAATAGCCTAAACAGATGGTTGTTTTTTTTTCTTTTGGGGGGAGGTTATAATTTATGTTCCTATTTATTAACTTTCCCTAGTTCCTCCCCTCACTAGCAGAAGAGGAGTAGTAATTCCTGGAAGGTGCTGGAAAATACTTCTCTTATTTAGCTGTAAGAAGGGCACTCGTAGGCTACTTGAATGAAGAGGCTGTGCTGTTCCACTGCTCCTTGCTCTTCACAGAATGTCTTAACTGAGGAAGAGACTGATGCAATAACCAGAAGAGTCGAAATAAGCAGGAAGTTTGAAATCCGAAGGGTGATGTTTCATAAACACGTGTTTTTCATGTCCTAAAAGGAGAAAACAAAGAGCACAAGAAAAACAAGCGGACTCTCCTTTTTGAGTTCTTTCTACAAACTACTGACTACTAGCGTAACCGATCTTTTCAACACTTTGCCACATTGGTACAAATGTTTTTAGAATTCTTTTAACTGCTTCTCGTTATCTGGAAAAATACCGCAGTAACTATTGAAATTGCCTCTCTTAAAATATACAGAAATAGATACTGGAAATGGGTACCAGCCTTTGTCAGAAGTTCACAAAGCTTTCTTACTCGGTCAGGTGTAGTATGTGTTTCTTAGACAGCCCTCTGTTGGGGCATTTTAAATTATTTTTTTGTGTGTGCACAAACTGAAATAAATGTTGCAAGGATGTTTACTTGTTCAAGTGGCAAACCGTGTGTTTAGGAAGCTGTTAAAGAGCATGAGTAACTTCTTTAAAAAAAAAAAAAAGAGTAAAATGTGGTCATTGTTTTGATCTGGTCATTTAAAATGTCTGTAGCTTAAGGGAATCTCAGAGTCTGCGTTCTGTTTAGCTTGAAAGTGAATATTAATTTGGCTGTCAGTATAGTCAAGCTAAATTACATGATCCTAATAAACTTAAGGTATATATCTAGGTATTAGTAAAAAGTAATGAAATGAGTAGCTGATATTTACATTGCTATTTTTATACGGACCTTAAGCCTTTCTCGTTTCGGAACAGAAACTTAGACTTGAAAGTCTGCTGATAGCAGCTCCTTTCTGGAAGATCTGCTGGATAGTTGTGGTGCAAGTCATGGTCATGCTTCCCGGGTGAGCAACGCCACTTCCTGTGCAAAGAATGCAGAAGCTGTTGTAGCACCTTGTGAGGTTGGGCTAGCAAGGGGAGTGCAGCTATTGCGAAGCTCTGCATATGAAAGGATGAGTAAGTGTTTGTGCATGTGGAGACCTGTACTGCAGCATTTCCGTATGTGCTGCTTGGAGATGGTGAAAACTAAACTGTGAGGGAGTGGAAAAGGGTGTTTTTTTTTTTTTTTTTGAGGGGTTCGTGTATTGCTTTGGCTCAGAAGAAGAATTGTCTAAAGCTGCTTCGTACATCAGGTTTGAAGTAATTGCTTCGTGCTGTCTTAACCTGACTGATTTGTACACATCACCTTCAGCACTGGCTGCCCTCCCAGAAAGGTCACTGCGAGCACCTGCATCGTGCCTGGGGCCAAACTTGTCTGCTCTGCCTTAGGGTCAGTACTAACTGTGCTTCTGTTTTTATTGATTACTTTGCACTTTGTTTCCTTCTTCCAGAAACATCCTTACCTGCTTGTGTTGCAGCATCTCCTTCCTGTTTTCATTCCCTGCTGGTTTCTCTCCACATTTCATGCGACTCAGGAGCTAAACAGCATGCGCTTGGCTTTCCAGTCTCTCCGCTGCTCCTCTTGCCACCGCTCAACACCTTGTCTTCTGGTGCTCAGCCCTCTGCTGGTCTCTAAGCTAAATGGGAGAGGCGAAGCTTAGGATAAGGAGGAGCCTAACTTCTTCAGAGGTCAGTTCTGGCAGCCAGCTGCCTCTCGCAACTGCCAGAAGAGTGCTGCTGTTTCTTTGGGGTAGGTGGCACTCCTGCAGCTCTGGGCTTGTTGCCCTTCCTGCGATTGCTCACTTTGCCCGTGTGTACAAAGAGCCCTCGCAGTCAGTGGTCATACTGCGACCAGGCAGGCTGCAGTGTTTAGCAGGGGAAGTGGCTCTTAATTTCCTCTGAGCTTCTGTGGAGAGCTGGACTTTCTGCTTTCTGCTCATTGGGTTTGCACACAGCTTTCGCTCTCCTGCTCTGACCACGTGAGTCTTGTCCGTGGGCTCTGATGGGATCAGCAGCTGCATGTTCAGCCCTGCTGTACACAACCATTTTTCAAGCATGCCGCTTCCCACCCCAGTTCTGGCACTGTTATAGTCTGAGTTTACCTTTTTGGGAAAAATTTTTGGAATTGCATGTCTTGGTCTTGTACACCTATCCTTCCCTAGAGAAGCTCCCATCTCTTTTACTTACTGGTAATGGCTACAACATATTTCTGAAGTTGGTTTTATGTCATGTCCACTGACCGAGTGTCAGAGGTGGAAAGCCACCAGATGGGAGGTGCTAGGGAGATTGCTGGGGCAGCTTTTCGTATCAGTGCAGAAACAGCCTTTCCTGGAAGGAAAGATGTTCATAAAGCAGAAATAGTGCTAACTCATTAAATTGGAAGGATCTTGAAGTGCTGGGCACCAAGCAGAAGAAAGCTCAGCACGTGTGACCATGAATGGGTAGCAAGTGCTGTCTCGAACGATAATCCTGCACTTTGAGAGTTAGAAATTGAATGAAAGTAGTGTTTTGTGTGCTGGGGGATGGAGGTGGTTTGCTGCAGTTCACGTGTTTCTCAACCACCAGGTAGCAATTCAAGAGAAAGGGAGGTGGGGGGATGTGTGTGTGGAGAGGAGCTTTGGTTTGAAGAGTGTGTCCTGCTTATCCTGTGTGTGACCATGTAATAAAGCAGCGCTGAGAAAGAGGAACCTGAACAGTGACATTCCTTGCTGTGGCAGTTTTCATATAAATCCTCGAGCGGAACAGTTGGTAACACCTTTCCTATTCTTGCATCTTCCTAGACTGTAAGCTGTGAAGGCCAGGAATCTGTAAAGTGTCTGTGTACACTATGGTGCTATCTTAAATAAAAGATGTCCTCTGTTAAAAAAAATAAAAGTGTCCTGGGTATGAACTGTTGCTTTTTAGAGGAGTCTGCAGGAAAACTGCTTGAGTTACTCTGTGCTGGGAAACGCCAGGACAGAGTAAGAGGCTTCCTGGAAGTAGCTGTAAGCCATGCAGCACCCTGCTCAAAAGTCTGTCTGAACTGGTAATTCCACTGTCGGCTGCTTCATTTAGCAGTACAGCAGGAAGGAGTCACCTAAATTAACTGTGACTGGTACCTGAGACCTTACTTAGCTAATAAGGTGTCTTCTTACCCCTCCCAACACCACTTGCCACAGGTCAGAATTACGCAGGTACAGGTACGTGTTCGCCTTTTCCTTGCAGCTCCGGGGGGAGGTCATTGAATTTGTTAATGAAAGGCACTGCTGTGAAACGCCGCCTGTCCTCGGTTAGGGTGATCGAGGCACGATGCTCATTTTTATTGGAAGGCACCTGCAAGGAAGATCACCAGTTCCTAATTTGGGGCCCCGCTGGCAGAACAGTTCTGACTCCTCCGTGATTTTTGTTTCTAACCTGGTTGAAACGGGCAGCAGCTGAGGCTCAGGGCTCTAACCAGCCAAACACTGAATGACTCAGCTGTGCTGTGTAACACACAATGCGTCCCATTTTCACAAGTAGATCAAGCCAGAGCAATGAAATGCTATTTTAAACAACTTTTTATTAGCAATGCATGAACAAGAAATTGCATTTTAGTACCGCATAACATGAAAACAAGCAGAAGACAATTCTACTGCCCTTCCCTGTGATGACAGCTGATGCCCCTGGTGTACCTGAAGCCACATGGAAGGTACATGTGCAGCGACGGCATAGAAGCAAGAGAAGTTCAGAGGGGAAGGGTTTGTGCTTTAGGACAGTTATTGTCCAAAATGTGCATCTCCTGCTTGAGCTTTTCTTTTTATGTTAAGGAGGGGAAAGGGTCGGGGGAACCAGCTTTATTAGAAACACAGCTCAGGTAATACACGCCTCCTTTCATCTTTGTCTTGCTTTCTGATTAGGCAATGTAACCACCACCCCTTCGGTAGAAATGTGCTTGTCTTAAAATGGTTTGAGCCAAACCAGGGCCGTGGCCTCTCGCTGCCCTGTAAGCTGGGTCCTGAGAATGCACCACTTTATGCTCACACGTCAATGGATTGCCTATGCCCACCAATCTTTGGAAGCCAAACTTGCATCAACTAATGCCCGCGTCCTTTAATTCTAGCTTTAGCACCCCGTGAAATCCAGTTTAGCAGCCCCATGCACCCTGTCCTGCAAAATCCAAAACGCTGCTGGCCCACAGTGTGTATGTAGCACTGGCACAGCTCTGGGCTGAGAGACACAGGGAGGACCCAAAGCTTGATGTAAATGCTACCCCCACATAGGAGGCACCAGGAATGCATTTTTCCTAATGGCTGCTCGTATTTTGCACTCAGTGGTGGTTTTGTTGGTGGTGATGATGTTTGTTTTTTTTTAAATCAAATAGGTTAATAATCCAACAGGTCTTTTTCAGCTATGACTGTCCCTTAAGCAGCACCTCGAGATAAGGCCTGTTTGCTTAGGCAATGTGTTCAGATTACAGAGCTGTCTGCCCCAAAAGGCTTCCCCTGGGACTGCTGCACGCAGCCTGTCTGTACCGCCAGCACAGCCTGCGGTGCTGCTTCTGTTGCCTCAGGATGCAGAGCGCAGGCTACGGACAGAGCTCAGCTTCAGGCCAGCTGGGCGTGCTGCTGCAAAACAGCCCGGCCAAATCCTTACTGCAAATCGTTCAGTGTCAAGCCAAGAGGGAGCAGCGAGGGCTCGCTCTGCCCTGGGCTGACACCAGGCCTGCCAGCAGGAGGGAGCGCAGGCCAAGCTGCCAGGAGGGCAGTGCTCACAAACTTACACGTATGCATCAGGAAACAGGGGCTGTGTCTTTCTGTATGACATCAGACCCAGCTAATGCCCCTCTCTGCTTGTTTTCCTACCTTTACTATTTTCAGCAAGTAGTTACCAAAAGATAGTAAAAAAAAAATAATCAGACAGAAACAACAAAACAGATCTTTATAGCTGGACTCAATACTCATAAACATTCCCAGATTTACCTTAAGATCTACACACAGATACAAAAGAGAAAAAAAAATAATAAACTAGAGCAGCTCCAAGTTAGCAACACGGAAATACTGTAAAATGTTTCGGTAATGTTAACAGAACCCATACGAGCAGGAGGCTGCAGCAGCCGTCCCTCGTGCCTGCGTGGTGTCAGGGCTGTGCAGCTGAGCCTACGAGATGGACGCAGTGCTGGAGGAGGTAAAGCATGGAGACAGCAGTCGTGAGAGGAAAGCCGGAGCTTTTGAATTAGTTTTAAACTCTACAGCACGCAGCCAGTGGCTAATGGTGGGCGCTGATGCTGAACTTGCCCAGGAGACAGAGGGACACTTGAAATAGAAGAGGGAACAACACCGTGGCTGTGATAAAAACGTTCTCCCCGCTTCTGGTTTAAAAAAAACAAAATAAAACCAAGCAACCTAACAAGAAAAAACCCTCTCCAAGTGATTGCCAGCGTTTCTCTCTCAAAGCTGAGGGCTGGCGATGCCTGAACACCTGCACTGCGTGCAGGGAAGGTCGGCGCTCCTCAGCTGCCCCCCATCAGTGCTTGAAGTAACAACACCTGGGTTACAGCACCGGGCTGGAAATGATGACTGCACGCTCAGCGAGCTGCTGGGTGACACGAACAGTTTTATTTTATTGCTATTCTACGAGTGCTTCCTTCCCTTCGTGCAGCCCAGCCAGTGCTCGGCTGCTGTTCAATCATTTTCATTAACAAACCTGTGCCAGAAGAACCAGCTGACCGAGCTTTACAAACCCATAAAAGCATGAAAAAAAAAAAAAACCACACACAAAAAGGCGAGCTGATATACATTTTACATTTGCTTCCACATGAATAATTAACACAGACAAAGGCTGTAATGGAAAGGCATTTTATTTTCGCCCAGTAACACCCCTCCCAGTATAACAGAAATAACGGGAAAAGGGAGGAAAAAAAAAACAAAACAACAAACAGCCAACAAACCCCATAAGCAATAATGTCACCATGAACATTTGCAGCTTCAGGTCCTGTAGGTGTGAGAGCTGCAGCAAGGCTCTGCTTGCTCCCTCTGTCGCAGCAGCGAGGCTCAGCTGGCTTTGAATCCTCTGCAACCGGGGTCAGAGATGAAACAAGACCGACGCTGCCGGCGGCGTTTTTAACTCCTTGGGTCTCCCACGATCCATCTGAACAGGCTGTGGGCATATTAACGAAGCTAGAAAAGTAACGAGATGGTAAAAATTCCCAGAAGGGAGCTCGCTGTGCTGGTCCCACCTTCCTTTCGGCAATAATTCACTCTAAAATGCCTATGGGGCGCGAACTGCCTGGAGGGGCCGAAAGCAGTAACTCTAATAAAGGTAACAGCCAACACACATATAAATAGGACTCGTTTTCTTTTTAAAACACCACGGGAAGCTCGGTTCCCACTGCATGATTGATGGAGACTCCCTACACGTTAATAAATATATTACACCTATTTACAGGCTCCCGCTTTCGAAGCTCAGAGCAGGGCCGGGACGTGCAGGCGGGCAATGGGAGGGGACCGGGGATGCCAACACAAGCAGTGAGGTGGAAAGCTGAAAACAGCAGCGAGATGGAAAGCTCAGAGCAGCCCTCGCTCTCTGCAGAGAGGCAGAAAGCACGCGAGGTGAGCTCCCCCTCCATGCTACCCCTGAGCAGCTGCCCGGAGGCTCAGCCGCTGCCCTGTAGCGCTGCCGAGGCGGAGGGGCCTTGGCACGTCCCGGGGGATCGCTCGGGATTTCTTGGTCCTTGCTGCCAGCTCTGCGATGCCCGAAACCCTTCTCGAAGGGGAAGATAAGCTGCTGGGCTAAGAGGCTTGAAGATGCCGAAGAAAAGGATGGGGGAGCTCGGAGTGAGACGTCACGCGTTTCTGTCGGCCTAGCTCTCCCGGTGCACGCTGCAGCAAACCCGAGGCCTGGTTTTGGCACAGAAATGAGAGAAAGTGCTGATGGGGCTGAGATCAGGCGGCCCTTCCAGCAGCACCAGGGCCCTTTCAAGCTGTCCCTGCAATCCTACGTCCTCACCCTCCCACGCCAAACGCTTCCAGAGGCACCCCAGAAAGGCCCTGACACCCGACCTTACACGGGGCAGCTGAAGAGGGAGAGCTGGCCCTGGCCTTTCCCGTTCAGATTGGGTCAGAAAGATGCTAAAACGTTATTTCCATCAGCTCTGCGTACGCACAATCCTCGTTTTCCATTCAGAGAAAAAGGAGGAGGGACGAATCTCTGGGAAGGCTTAAGGAGACTTTCGCCTGTGCTTTTCGAATCACCGTGGATATACACGAGTGGCTGCTCCGAAGGCTGCAACGTTACACGAGAACAGACATTTGGGGAAAGGGAAAGGGAAGGGGAAGGGGATGGGAAAGAGGATGGGGAAAGGGGAATCATCCTCCCCAGGGCAGCAGCAGCGCACGGCACCACGCCAGGGCTGACGGGGCCATCTGCCTCCCCCCGGGCTCCCAAATGCACCAGGAGGATTTGTTTTGGTGAATGTACCATCCAAATCACATCGGGTTAAATCCAGTCCCAGCTACTTTGGAGCAGTTCTGAGGTATCTCTCATTAATCCTTAGTATAGAAATGTTAATAAATAGATCTGAAACTTTTTTTTTTTTCTGCTATGTCACTCTATAATACACTGCTATATAGATATTAAATACGCCTCAGGGTATTAAAAAATTTATGAAAAAAGTTACAGTAGTTGATTTTCAAGTATTAATAACTTGGCTATATTAGCTTGTTTTTAAATACCAAAACGATCCGGCCCCAAATCATAGACTAAACTCCGGCTACGCCTGCATTTAAAAAAAAAAAAGTACTTTGAAAATTAAAAAAAAAGTGCAAAAAAACCATGTGATGTCAGTTAGCAGTGTACCACCGTTGGGACTTCTAACCAACTAGTCTAGCATTCTTCTGTGAGTAAATTAAAAAAGGAAAAAGAAAGAAAAAAAGGGATGGGGGGGGGGGGGAACAGAGAGACTGCTCCCAATCTGAGACCGCGCCGTCCCAAATTTCAGCAGAATCCTAATTTTTACAGCCAAGTTATAAACCCCAGAAAAAATGGGGATACCAGTGGATATGCTGTCAGACATAACGATAGCAGTATTTGCGTGCTCCACTATAATACAAATGTACACCTTCACCCACCCTCTCCTCTGAGGAACCACGAGAACAGCTTGACAGGTTTCCAGTTGAGAAGCCTCCCTTATTTCCTCCCCACACGCTGTACAACTGTCTGCTACTAAAATTTACCAGTATTCATCATTGTACATTCGAGACAGAATGTGAACCACTAAAACCTGCTCAGGAGACGCTCAGACGAACACTAAGGCTTAAGAAGTAGAGCAGCTCAGGGGAACAGCCGGCCGCACGGGCAGACAGCTGTCACGTTATTTTGCCCCAGTACACAGACTGTGAGGTCCTGGGCTGGGCCCTGATCTCAGAGCAACAGAAATGGTTCAAAGAAAGACAATTCGAACCACAATTGCTCATGCTAGGTGCCTGGTGTGCGAGTTGACTCCTTGTTTTTTAATCTAGGATGTGAGCATTACTAGCCTGGTAATGCCAATATGACTTACTGTTTGCTACCGTGCTAACACTGACACTTTGTTAGGTTTGGTTCTCCATCAAACATGTTTTAGCTCATCTCCTGAAAAATGATTCGAAGGGTGGTTAAAAAAAAAAGACTGAAAGCAAGAAAAAGCTTTCTAGTTTCAATGCACACGTACAAAAGAGGCAACAATTTCAAACTATTGATTTTCTTCCAGTGCTGACCCATTGCATCCCATTCTGTACAGATAAAAACAGCCTTCTGTGTCTCTGGAAAGCATTGGAGTAGGAAATCCTGTGATCTAATGCAAATTCAGGCCTGTCAAGTGAAACGAAGCAACGGAGTGAGAATCCAGTTTTCGTGACCTTTCTTATGGACGATGACCTCATGAAGACAAAAGCAAAGCAAAAGGCACAAGGCTCAGATCTCATTGATAGTCCTTTCAGAGGGGCAGTATTCAGAGGTTCCTGGTGAGGACATGTAGAAGGACTGCGTTTTCCTTTTTAACCTGGCTCTCTTGTTGGCCAGAGAGAGGCTGCGCCGGCTTGAATTGATGATTTCTGAAATAAACTTCTTGCAGTCCACGCACACCTCCATCGTGCTCCAGTCCTCCATTAATTCTTTGGGAAACTGCAGCTCTTCATTGGACTTATCCACGGATTTGGACCTTGAGGCCAACCTGAAAGGCAAAAGAACAGGACTCATCTCACTATTTAGCAGTATGGCAGTGGGCATCCAGGGATGCCTTCAGGAAACAGCCAAGACAGAATGGTCTTGACTCCAGTTACCCTTTTTCCTATCCCAAAAATGACACCAGGAAAGCAAACACTACAGAGGATGGCTTTGGCCTGGTTCAGCAAGATTGTAGGGTCACTAACTGAAGGTATGTGTAAAGTTTACCTTTTAAAGAACAAAATGTTCGAGTGGAAGGGCCCTGCCCCAGCCACTTGCCCCAGCCCCCTGCCCCAGCAGGGCCACCCAGAGCAGGGTGCCCAGCAACACGGCCAGGCAGCTTCTGAAGGTCTCCATGAGGAGACCCCACGGCCTCTCTGGGCAGCCTGTACCAGTGCTCGGCCACCTGCACAGCACACAAGGGCGGCCTGGGGCTCAGAGCCTGTGCCCACTGCCTCCTGTCCTGGTGCTGGGCACCACTGCAAAGAGCCTGGCTCCATCTTCATTGCACCCTCCCTTTGGATATTTATAGACATTGATGAGATCCCACCCTGAGCCTCCTCTTCTAAGTTATAAAGTTCCGGAGGTACTACAGAAACAACAGTTGTCCCTGTGTCATGTTGTTTTTCACCTGTAGTGTGAAAAGTTTTTAAGACACACTGTTAATATTGTTGTTTCTGGTAGTCGAAGAAGTAAATGGAGAAACAAGGATTTCAGAAGGCTTCAGAAAGGTTACTTAAAAGCATTAGAAACATTTAAAACTACGAAACAAGCAGAAAGTGTCTTCTTAGTGATTTATAACTCAAGATGAAAGACTTGGTAAGCTCTTTCAATACATACATGAGTTAGGGCTGATCCTCACCTGGGCATGCTCCGCAGTGATCGGTGGTGACTGGTGGAGGGTTTCTCTGGCCTCATAAAGCTTTCTCCTCTTTGCAAGGTAGAAGGTCCCAGTGAGAAAATGGGGAGAGTAGAGTATGGCTTTGATGGCAATCGCATCTGTTGAGAACAGCAGAAGGAACATGCAGTATTATTACCAAAGATCACAGCTTTTCAGAACTAGGCAATCCATGAATTTGTGTACTTACTTTTTTGCAGCACTGTGAGCATACGGGTCTGCATAAGAAAATAAAAGCATGAATCATTTAATTGGGCAAAACTTTATTTAAATAAAGAAAAATGAATAAATATCCCAACCCCTTAAACAAACATTTTTATTTTTAAAGCTTCTAAAGAATTACACCTCCAAAAAAACCCACAAAACTTTCACTGTTATAGAAATGAAAGCAATCAGCAGTGTGCAGCAGAAGCATTTGGGGGTATCTAAGGTACAAACCCATATTTTTCACTCTGAAATGGTACTTATTTATTAACAGATATTAAATATTTACCTTTTACAGAACTGACAAGTGTAAGACCAGGTAAAGAAAGAAAACCTTCTTGTTCGACAGCAAAAGCAGAGCTAGAAGAAGAACAGAGAGTTCACAATGTTAGACAAAATCCCACACAACGATGATCTTATCCAAGAGCTGCCATTAGTGAGACCGGAGTTGCAATACTACATCCAATTCTGTGGTCCATATTTCCAAGAGGATATTGAAAAGTGTCATGGTTTTGGCTGGGACAGAGCTTTTTTTTTTTTTTTCCCACAGAGGCTCACACAATGCTGTCTTTTGTATTTTTGGTGAAAACAGTGGTGACAGCACAGGGATGTTTCAGTTGCTGCAGAGCAGTGCTTGCACAGAGCCAAGGACCTTTCTGCTCCTTGTGCTGCCCTGCCTGCGACCAGGCTGGGGGTGCACCAGGAGCAGGAGGGGACACAGCCAGGACAGCTGGCCCACAGCCAGGGGCTGTCCCACACTGTGTGGGGCCATGCTCAGCAACAACAGCTGGGGGAAAGGAGGAGAAAGGGCGGACACTGGGAGTGATGGTGTTTGTCTTCCCAAGAAGCCATTAGGTGTGATGAGCCCTGCTTTCCTGGGAGTGGCTGAACACCTGCCTGCTGATGGGAAGTAGCAAATGAATTCCTGGTCTTGCTTTGCTTGCGTGTACAGCTTTTGCTTTACCTGAACTGCCTTAATCTCAGCCCATGAGTTCCCACACTTTTACCTTGCCAATTCTCCCCCCCGTCCCACCAGGGGAGAGTGAGCGAGAGGCTGCGTGGTGCTGAGCTGCCCGCTGGGCTAAACCACAGCAGTCCTTTCTGGCACCCAATGTGGGGCCTGCAGGGCTGAGTCCAGAATTGTATCTTCATGTATTTAGAAATATTCTTTTAATTTCCTACCTAAATTAAATACCTGGCAGTTAATTATTAACTTATTTTCCTCCTCCCTCAGCGGTGTTCATATGAGTGCTATATAAAAGCAAGAACAAAACCAAATCAAAACAGAACAGGAAAGTAAAAGTAACAACAGTAACTATTATAACTGAAGAACACAGGAAAAAAATGGGGACAAATTCAGCCATAAATAAATTTGGGCTGGAAATTATTCCTAACCATCCAAGTCAAGTTCTGGAATATTAGGTAGTTGCCTGTGATAAGATTTGATGATTTTCTTCCAATCTTACGTTACTGAAAACTAGAGAAAGTCCAGGAACGAGCTATTATAGCTATCATACTTGAGGAAAACTGGTTTTATAGTCCCGTATGTTTAGCTTAGTCAAAGGAGGCAGGGATCCCAATAACATTTATAGAAAAAAAGGCTTTGAACAGAGAAAATGGTCTTCTGTCAAACAGAAGATGACATACTGGAATTGAAAGACTGGATCCTTTTCTTTTTTTTTTTTTTTTTGTGTGGAAAACAAAACAAACCAACCAAACAAAGCCACCACCACAAAACCAACAGTTCAGAGACAGAAATCATTATATGCCAGACTGAAAGCTGTAGGAGACTGTATTTAAAAGGGAACTCCATTACTGAAGTATTAACAACCAGGTACAAGGAGAGAGACACTGGCCAATTTACAAGAATTTTACTGAAACTGCTTTGCAGCAAAGTTGGGAAGAAATCAGATTTGGGACTTATATTTAGGATTGTTTTGGCTTTCACATACTTGCAGTTCTTTAGTGTGCTTTAAAGTAATACTGCAGAAGACATGGAGGCAGAAGACACCTTAGTGAAGTTTAAACATACAGTTAGAGATGTGCTCTGATCATTGCAAAACCTGCTGCATTTTTATAGAAGATATAAAAACTCAAGGAAGCTGACCCATATGTTATACACTATACATCAGTGGATAGCAACTTTTCTCCAGTCCAGTCCAGTCCAAGGCAAGTCTTGATGCCAGCACCCAGCTTTCTATCGGCTGGAACGTGCAAAGGGGAGGCTTGTGTGACCAACCTCCCTCGAAAAGCTTGGGCACCTCTGCGGACTCAGCCATACCTTTCCTTTTTTGAGAGCAGTGTAGACATCTTTATACTGCTGGTACTTTTCCAGCTCTGCCTTCACCAGCACCTGACGGATGTGCATGACTTCCTCCACCGTCAGAGCCAGACATTCCACCGGGTAACAGAACTCCTCCTGGAAGCCAAAAAACACATATGAACTCAAAGCCAAGTTGCTTCTTCCAAATTTCAACCTAGACAACCAACCACCTGGTTAGTAGCTCCAGAAACAGAGGGTTTCTCCCTTTAAACTGGAATGGCACTGGCTCATTCGTGGGCATCACACGAGTTTCAAACTGTTTGAGACTCCTCAGGTGTGATCTACATGGTCTGATGCTCAGCCCTCACAACAATTACAGTTTCCTTTGTTTTTCCTCCTCAAGCCACTTGACCATTTGTCTTTTCTTATGAAGATTATTTTAACAAATCAATGTTCAGGTTTATAATTTGAAAAGGAAAAGGTAATTTGGCACATGGTATTTATTTTAAGGATTGTTGAAGACGCACAACTTCCCTGAGACTTTGTGGTGCCCAGAGTGGCCAAGGAAAGTTGTTAGTTGCCCCTTCTAGCAGAATTTTTTATTCAGTGGTACCACATTTTGGCGCTCACATGAGCAGGCCTACAAAAAGTCGAGGCAGTTCAGGCAGAAAGGCTCTCCTCCCTACCCCTAGAGAGTAACAACGGCAAGTTAGGCTTTATGGAAAGAATAATCTTCAAACATAAAGCATGAGAATTGGTTACCCAGTGTTGAATTGCTAATGGAAGAGGATCAAATAGAGAATAAAACCCCAACAACCACAAATGACCCATCTGCAAAATTTCTGTATATTCAGTACTACAGCATGCTGGAGAATATTGAGTAGAGAGCGCCTGAATTTGGTACCAGAGAATAAAAAGCACCAACCCAATTTGTAATCCAGCCCTGTAGTTGATTATACAGTTCCAACAGAAAGACAGAAACCTCTGTGGGAATTCCCATCGCTTTATGCTTGGTGAAACCTTTTCAGTCCGCCCAGAGGGGCTACTGTGTGGCAATGACAATGACATCTAATGCCTTCTGAATAAAGGAAGGAAATTTCTCCTGCAAGTACAAAGACACGGCTGACAGTCTGGAGATCTAATTTATAAATTGAAGCCATGATTCAGATTAATTGTGCAATGCTCGATTTGCTTGTATTCAGAGTGCTGTTCTGTCTTTCCATTAGATTAAAAGGAAAATTTTTCTACGTTGCAGACCTGGCAAACATTAGCATTTAGGAACCACCACATTTTTAAAAACTGTTGTCTTACCTATCTAGAAAGGGAACACAAAGAAACTTCACTCTGTTTAAGGTACCCCACAAAAGACTAGAATTGAGTTAACTTTGTTAGATTTGCCAGCTCAATCTTTGGGGCGTATAATCGCTCGTTTTCCGCAAAGAACAAACTATGTCACAAGCAACCGCAATTTGCTCGGAGGTGTAACACAGCCCAGCCAAACAAAATGACTTGTGCTCATTAGGAGGAACGTCCCAGCTATCAGCATTTCACTCGGGGTCCTTCCCATAGCAACTGCCTCGCTACAGAGAAAAGCACGGCCGCCGGCCGGGGCGAGACGGGAGAGGAAGTGGGTGGGAAAGCAGGGTGTGCACAATGCCAGCCAAAGACCTCAGTTCTGCATCGTGGGAGACTGGGAAACTGTCTGTAGTGAATGAGGCGGACTGAATGCTTCCGATCAATCAGAGCTTTAAGTCCTTTAGAAATAGGTTTCTTACTTGAAGGCACTTCCTTCCCCCTCATGAGCGCCCACTCCTTTAATTTATAGGACGATGATGTCAGTGAGTATTGCTCCTTTGAAGACAGGCTGTAGATCTACTATAGGTGTAGAGCAGCTACTAGGGGAATAGGGTGGCTCTGCTGCGGTACCAATCAAAAATGATTACTGCTTCGGCAAATAGAAATAGCTAGCAGGCAACAGGGGAAACATAGAAAAATGTTCACAAGTTTAAATGCTAATGTTTTAATTCCAGAGGTTACACAAGGACAACAAAATGTTAATGCAACATTAAATGAAAGATAAATATTATGCTGATTTCAGAAAACTGCTTGATTTTTTTTTTCCCTTTTCGGAATAGAAATAAGTACACAAGAAAATCTTTTGGTTCAACGCTAGCTCTAAGGCACTGAAATTAATTAAAATTACACTAAGCACTGACTAAACTTCATTAAACAACGATGCTTTGGAGTTATTGCTCAAACTTCAACAATAATCTACACCCAAGTTAGGCAGCTCCAAACCAGAGAACTTTAGTTCTCTGCAACACTTACAGACAACAGAACATACTAAAGACAAACTGTGGCTTGAATTGTACTCAGTACTTATTTCAATATTAAAGGTGATCAGTATTCTTATTTTTTAAAGGAAAAAAATTACTTAAAACACTAATTTGAACTTGGAGTCTCCAGGATCTTCATGAGAATTGGCTTTACACTTGGACTGTGCAGTCATTATATACACCACAGTAGCTTAATGTGTATATGTGTAACTAACTTTTTTTTTTTTTACTGAGGAAAAACAAGTAGTAAGAATTATATACTCATTATGTGAAATAAAGTGCTTTGTAGGTTATTCTCAGCATGCACACACCTAATAGGTCCTTATGACTTTTTTTTTTTAAAAAAACTAATATATTCCTTGTAAAATTTCTCATTAAAATGTGTCACTAGGCAATCAAATGGGCTGCACTAATAAATTACAATGTGAACATGTGCCAGATTGGCCTCTAAATTCTGCAATTAATGGTTAATCATGCACTCTAAACTCTCACTGATATTGCAGACTAAATGTTTCTAAGAAGCTCAGCTGGATATCTCAAGTATAAATTCTCCTGCAGAAGAAGGTTTCCCATTCTGACTTATTGGTTGGGTCAAGAAGAAAAAGAAGGATAAATTGAAATTTTTCACGTTTGATTCTACATAGGGGTAGATGAATCAGTTTTTCTTGTTAGTCAGTTTGCCTTCCCTGGTACACAGCTATCAGTTATGCTGCAAGTTCTGATACATAAGTGTGCTGAGGACCAAAACCGTATGTAGGTTTTCAAGTAAAACAGATTGCAAATGCCCTTCCATTCTACATAGTATAACTTGTTAGAAACACAAGAGCTTATTCTTTTCGACAGTCCAAGGATTACAATATTTTTGCTGGGCTTTTGCTGCAGGATCTTCATGTGCTGTAACATTTAAGGTCTGTCCCATTGATAATCTTGTGATGTTGCATTTTTAGTTTGCTGTCCTTTCAGAACTGATTTCTTTTTCCCCGTGAGGTGATTGAAGACACACAAATATCCTACACACATTGAAATCAACGTCAATCAGGTGCAATGTCCCAGCCTAAGCTTTAATTCTTGCCACAGCTTAGGAAGTGCTCCCCTAAGAGGGAACATGCTGGTGAAGGTGATTTCCAAAGCCAGCAAAAAGAGGCAAACCTTTGCGGGTTTCCACCTGCTGGCAAAAGCTCTCTCACAGAGATAGTACATAGCCCCTGCCACCCCACACATGGCTGCTTCAACGGGATGAGAGCTGAGCAGAGAAGCTGTTTGCATAGTTGAAAAAAGTGGTCTGAAAGTCATCCTTGGAAATAAACTCGTTATCCTAGGAACCTGAACAATAGATAGGAAGCAGAGAAGCGAATGCTGTGTATGAATGAAATCATTAGCTTTGGTCCTCTGGGTCATGAAAAATAAAACGACGATGATGATTAAAAAAAAAAAAAAAAGCAAACAAACTACAAAGACATTCATATGTACATCTCAGGACACTGGCTTCATCTCACTGATTAAGCACCAAGTCAGCTCACTGCAGCAAGCACACCACCAGGGCGATCCCCCCAAAACTCACTGAGCTGCCCTGCCTTTCCGCGTAGCACTGGTAGGGTGACATATCAGAAGGATGATATTTGGCATTTTTCCAAATTTGTTTCCCTTCCCCACTTACTTAGCTCTAACTCCTTCTGTCTGATGAGATGCCAGTTCACAAAACCATAGTTAGTATGCAAGACAGACCAGTTTCTTGCTAATCCTGCTAAGAGACAGTAGAAAACTCCTGCCTGTTCTCACTGGTATTGAGAGCTATTTATTGTTGAGGCCTCTTTCACCTTGAAGAGGAACCGCAGTCACAGGAGCAGCTGATAAGAAATGAAACTCCATCAGTCCTGGAGGAAGGGACGAAGAAGTGTGAAGTCAAATAAAAAGGAAGTAATGTTCTGCAGGCATTGCGAGGCGTTCAGGGAAGGAACTGCAACGTTACGTAGGCAGCACTTGGCGCAGCCACTGAATGGAGCCGGCATCCTCCGGGGAAGGAAAAACTCTGCAGCAAGCCAACGCGTGTAACTGGGACAGTGCCACCATATCAGAAACCATCTACCAAAACTAAAAACAAAAGTATTGTGGGAGTTGTCTGTCACACCCTAGAGGGCACTATTGCCAAGTTAAAGAACTCACTCTCCAGGCATCAAATAAAAATAGGTTCTTATTAAAGGAGCGTCATTTCAGTACTGCCTTCCCTTCTTTCTCGCTTTGTTGCCAAAACCCAGCTAGGTGACAGTTCTTCAGAGATCAAAAAAAATCAAGCAGAAAAGAAACTAGTAAAAATCCTTCCCATCTGCTCCCACATTTGCCTGACTTATCTAAAGTCTTTTCCTCCCTCTTCCTTTAATATTTTTAAGCAGGAGTGGAACAATTGAATTAAACGTTCTTTAGTGGTTTTATTTCAGATATTATCTTTCTAGGCATATGTCAGTAACCATATGCCTAGAAATAGGTATATACAAGAAAATACATACGTGGCCAAAAAGCTTCTATTAAGAACTTGTTTCACCTATTTAAAATAACAGCCTCACAAATTAGATTTTTAAGTTGCATGATCCTCCCAAATACATGAGATGAGATCAGTATTACGATGTACCATATTTAGATACCTTAAAAGTGTGATGGAGCAGATACCTCACTATAATAATAGAAGATGCTTTCTTCCCTCCTGCCTTAAAACAGTATATACATGAATGACTTTGGACCTGCCAGAAAATAAGCCCTGTGCTTCCCCATATAGTGAGTGCAGCAGGCAATGACAGAGCAATCCACTTTGTACGACAGCATCTTCAAACACGTGGTGGAGGAACCTTCCAACTTGGTTCTGGCGCAGCATGCTACACTCCGAGTTCATTTCAGCAGAAGTCTACTTGTGTTTAGTGTTTATCAATACGCTACCACTTGAACTTCACCTTGAACAAGAAACTACATTCTTGCGGAAGGATATAATAAAGAAAATCCCGCAGACCTTCTGAAATGAAGAGGAGGAAGCATGTGGTGGGAATATTTGGATATTATTTTCTTGTTACAGTTTAATTTCTTCAACTAATAGGTTCAGATCCCAGCTACCATTGCTTGGGCCAACAAGAACACTCTTCAAAACCCACTAATACAACTGCTCTAGAAGACAGGGTGAGTGAATATTCCCTTCCTTTCAAAACCAGGATGTGTTTATTGATTTCTCTATTCACCAGCACCTCATGGGGCATACTTCAAAACCCTGCTGGTAGGAAAAGAGACGAAGAACATATCCTGCATGAAATTACAAAGCACTAATCAGTATGTCAGCATAAAAGAACCAGGATTTCATACCCTTTGCTGCTTATACTCTGTTGGAAAACAGCTCTCAATTAAAGCTAATTGATCAAATGTACTGTACTTTCTTTTCAAGTAGTAACACAGTTTTTTTGCCTCAGTGACTTTAACAAAGCAACACAGAGAAACCTTGATTTGGATTACTGAAAGGACTTTCACATGTATAAACATTAACCACACAAGTTCTTAGGACGGGAAGAAAAGAAACCATTCCATTCATTCAGCCATTAACTAAAATACTATCAACAGATTAAAAAAAAAAGAAAAAAATAACATAAAAAAAATAATCCAGAGCTTTGGAGTCATCTCTATTCAGATTGAAAATCAGTAAGGTGAAGTTTGCCTGTGTTGGTAATATTTTGAAATAAAAGCAAGGCACATGGCGTTACCCAGAGTCCTAATCAAAGTGCACACATTTTTTGAGGCACCTATACCCGGGATTTTGGATCAAAATGATAGAGAGAGAGAAAGTTCATATCTTGATTTCAAAACGTCTTTAGTAGCCAAAGTAGTTTCTGAATTCAGGAGTTTTCTTTGAGTCAAGTTCTAATCACACTGAAGCCAAGTTTTAATTTTCATTATACTCTTAGAATGCCTCTTTTTCTCTCTCCTACCACCCACTCCACTTACAAGTGATCTGGAGCTCTGTTTTGAAGGTGGTAGAAACTGTCTCACATTGGTTGGCGTTTCCTTTTCGATGGAGTGTCGTCTCTGAGGCGGCTGCCGTCTCTCTGGCTGTGGCGTAGATGATATGGGCAAGAACTTTGGAGGCGCTGAAGATTCAAGCGGTATAAAAAAATCAGTTCTCTGAAGACAGACTGCTGGATAACATTGCTCAGTACTTGAAACAAACATTGATTTACTGGAATTTCTACTACTGGTGGCTCAAGTTACACATACACCATCAGATCATCTTCAGTACAGTACAGTACTACAGTACAGGCGAATGCCTTGCACTCAGTAATCACATTTGATCGATTCAGCTCGTTCTAGGGTTCATCTTTACAGATTTATTCCATTAATGTTCAACTTAAGCTTCCAATAAAAACTTCAAGCAAAGTTTACGTAACAGAAGGCAGCAAAGTGTGTAAAAGCAGTCGCTGAGCTCCCTAATCAAAACTTACTCTTTCTGCTGCTGGTGCCTTCCTGAGAGGGGTCTTCCACTTGTGAAGGGGAGATGCTGCTGCTACTTGTTGATTTATGCACTGATTCCTCCTGTGCGGAAAGAGAAAAAAACTAGAATTCCTCAGAAATTGTTTTTTCTTCTCTTACTGCTTCTTAGCACACAGAAATCTCAAGCTATCAAAGGCATTTTACAATGTTAAATAACTCTCAGTCCTGGAAGAAGTCCCGAGCTAAATGTTGACTCTACACAGCACTGCATAACTTTCTAAGCTCAACTTTTTCATAAACTGGAATAAATGGTATGTGATAGGAGTTCAGTGTATTTAAGCACTGCATGTAATGTTAGGATCAAAAGGGAGGTGCATGAATCCACTGTAACCTGTTACTATTCCACCAGTAACTGCTCATTGTACTCAAGGCCTTCTAAGGATTTGCTAACTACAGGAGACACATTAAACCAACTTTGTGTCTCACATTAGTAAGGAACCAGCACTCGGATTTCTCTGGTCTTCAAAGGAATGAGAGATCCTCATACAAGTGACTCAGATAAACAGAAGTGAATCTGATCTCCCCTGTACTGTTCCCTAATTCCTAATCTTGGTGCATTTCTCTCCTTTCTTCTGTATTTAAAGGAACTCTTATTCATTATCTGTTTCATCACAACAGCCAAGAGCAAGTCCTGCACGATGAATGAAAGGCTTCGACTAACATCCTTCAGCTATCTAACACAGCATGCCTCCAAAATTAACCAATCCTTTCACCCCAAACCTCTGTCTTCGGCCACCAGATACTAGGAAGATACAGACCATCACGGGAGCCTCCCAAAGGAATGGAGTTGAAGGGCTGATCGTGAATGCTGTTTAGCTCTAATGTGAATGCTTTTAACTGAGGAAATTCACATCGTTTAAGATGTCAAGATTTACTGATCGAACAAGTGACCTGCTCTAAAATCCAGCACGTGGCTAAGCCTCTCTCTCATGGATTTCTTTAGTTACTCAAACTGCAGGCAGGAAAACCCCCACTGACTGAAAAAGCAGCCTTTGGTAGCAGCAAGTCAGAACAGCAAAGCCGGCAGGGTCACCTCAATGGACACCGTGCACCACAGGACAGGGGCCCTTATAAACTCCCACCAGGTGATCTGTACTTTGTGCTTAGCCCAAGGGCACGGATGTGCTGTATGCAAGGATACTGTGATGTATACTTTTCCAGTGTGCATGCCTCAACACAACAGTCTGCAAAGGGACCCCAACCAGCTCAGCTCCCAGAACAATACATTCGCTTTAACATACCCAATGTGCTCCTTCCTAGTGTTTGAGGTAGGAAGACTGTAAGAAATTTTGAACAGCGTATTTAATTACAACAGCTGCTGTGTTTCCAGAAACCAGCAGAATTTAGCTACAGAGCCAGCTCAGAGATCATTGCAGACCTCAGGTTCACACCACATGGTTGCCCTCAGAGACCACTGCAGAACTTATGGGACAACTGGGTGCACCGTTCTCCTGGTGTGGTCCAACAGAGCTCACAAGTCTGAAGTTAAACATTTAGATTTTGTGATGGAGAATAACCCCTGTACAAAGTGAATCATTGAACTATTCACTCTCTAGGAGTCAAAGCCATTGCTTTTCCATTGCCAGAGAAGCTGAAAAGCTCAGATGAAGAACTAAGTGAGCTGTCAATCAAAAACCATAACCACGCTGCTCTGCTGCTTATTTCTATGAATGAAGAGCAGCCAGCACTTCGGAGAGAATGGAAACCAGGAGTACATTGTTTGAGATATTATCCTACCTGGACAACAGGTATTCCAGGTTTGTCGTTTCTAATTACTTCTGCGCACAAACACATGCAAGGGAAGTGCGATTACTGCCCTACAGCTTCTCAGACATGGAAAGCTTTTTTTTTTTTTTTTTTTTTTTTTTTGAGAATGAAATCTTGTGCAGGAACCAAATCTTGTGCCAAACCTTCCTACAAGCTTCTTCACATCAATACAGTAACTGTTGACTATTACGGTAGGCAATCAGACACTTTACATGTGAGGTTAGATAACCCCAACATCTGGGATTGTACGCTTCTCCACAGAGAACTAAACAATCAGAATAATCCTGCAGTTTCATTAGCAAGATATTTTCCTAACTGTATCAAAAATTACTATTAACTATTACTATTATTATTTATTACTATTAATTACACCAGGCAGTATGGCACTCCCTGCTCCCCATCCGAAACCATGATTTTAGTGGCAATGAAGAAAAAAGCAAGGACAGAATGTAGGAACGGTTTGTACAATATTCATCCTTGCCAGCAAACGGGTATAGGGCTGTATCAGACCTTTTCTTTCACCTCTGGCTGGCAATGCAGAGTGTTGGGGTGTAGTCAGAATCACAATACAGCTGTGAGAACAAAGGGGTTGCAGAGGAAAAAAAATGCATCTGCATCTCAGCCCATTTGGAGGTCCATAGCTCAGCAGTGCAGATATTTGCAGCCTGTAATTAGGGCATAACAGTCATAATTTAACTCCCAGTGAGTAACTCTAAATAGGTTAAGCCCAATTCAAATTGCAGGCAAAGAGGTGCCCGAGTGGCTTAAAGACAAACAGGACAAAACACTCACTCTTCTGTGTGTTACCTATAAAGCAAAAATCAGCAAAAAAAAGACATTTTTACAGAGCAAAGGTAACTTTCCTCAAACATTCTATGTCCCATCCCCTTTGTAAGCTTGAAAGATTTCACCCCAAATCCCTCCAGTATGTTTATTTACACCACTTCAGTGCTGTTCCTGAAACCCAACCAGTACTCTGCTGGGCATCTTAATCATCTGACTTGCTTCACCAGCTACTTCTGTTGACTCAAACCAATAAAGCATCTGTTCTCTGTGACAGCTCGATGTAGCTGATTTATTTTTCAATTTATTTTTTGCTGTATGCCCCAAAGCTTATCCCTTATGATTTTGCTTGCCTACACCATATTCCCTAATCAATAGCTATAGCCACACATTTTATTCCCCACCCACAAGAATCACTTAATGTTTCCCTTTACAGTATTTTCTTTAGTGATTTCTGCTCTTTTTTCCATGTGAAACATCACGCTGCATTAGCTTCAGGATGCACGGACCTCCAAGCCGAGAAGCTCTGAGTTTAAGATCCAACTCTTTCATTGACGAGTCTTAATATTCCTGCATTCTGCCCAGCTTCATTAATATTAACAAAACCTCATATAGCCTCTATTGTAATTTTAAACACTGCTGAGAGATTTCAGAATGCAAATTGCTTTTGCTTTCAGACTAGATGCACCAAATTATGCACCCATACAAGTCACCCATAGGATAACCCCTAACACAAAGAGGGCCAACTTCCCATGGATGAAGAAAGCGTGCAAGAAGATATATTTATCCCCACATTTATTTCTCTCCAGCCTCCTATCTCTCAGCTTAGTTCCAATTGTAAGCTCCCTGTCAGGAAACCCCACCCTCCTGATTTAACAGAGAGAAAGAATCAGGGAAGACTGCCTTCCCCAGGCTAAAATTAGCCTCTTTATTCAAAACCTTGCCTGAATGCGCTTTCCAGACAGCTTAACTTTTAGAAAGGTTCAAAAGCAGTAATATTACTGGTCCAGAAAGCAAAATTCTTTCTTGAGGATATAATACTGGTGCTTCTCGAGGACTACATATAATGTGGCTTTTAAGCTAGAGAGCTTTTTTAATCCATTCTCCGTTTTATGGTTTTTAAAAATCATTATCTCTCCCTTTGAGAGAGAATGGATTCAACATTCTGTCCCCAGCTAAGTGGTATTTACTTGTTTCAATCTGTGAAGCATTTGCTGGGCGTTAGTTCCCAAGCCTACATGACAAACTAACCCACTGAATTTGCACTGAACTGCAACCTCCCCGGCATAGCTGACGCTCTTTATTTAACAGCTGGGACAACGAGGCTGGGCTCACATCTGAGGCCTTCAATGACAGCTCCTGCATGGGTGCCAGAAGGATGGATGCAAGCCAGTTATTTTCCTGCATCATTCCCAAAAGCGTAATTGCTGCATATGTGCTGTGGACAGATAATGGGCATTTACAATAGATAAATAAATAAATAGATAGATAAATAAATAAATAAATAAATATTAGGATTAAAGACAAAATCATCATTTAAGCTTTTTAAAGAATACTCTCATTTCTGAGGTCTGATCTAATATTCTTGAAGTTCTGCAGGCTGGCAAAACAGTCATGGAGAATTCGTATGACAATCTACACAGATACTTCTTAGGGGATCAGTTCAGCAAATTAAGGAATAAGACCGAATTCTGACAAACAAGAAGTTGTGTCCTGATGTTTTACCTCTGAATCTGAGCTGTCAAGTTCAGCCAACGTGGGAGCCTTAAGGAGTCTCTTTCGTTGTACTGTCACTTGTGCGGCCCCCTTCTGCTTTCCTTGTGGTGCCAGGCCACCGTTTGCTACAGAGGCATCCACTGATTTTCTTCCTGCCTCTGGCGCAGATACATCTAGCAAAAGAAACAGAACAGTTGGTGCTTGGACCTCGAGTGCTAAATAGAACAATCAACTTTAATTCTGCCTTCTCAGAACTTACTGTCAAGGCAATTCACACAAAAGGGAAAAATACTGTGATAGTTATACGTGTGCAATTATTTTACTCCAGCAATACACTGCTCAGAACTACAGGCAATGGCTTGTGGTACAGAAGCAATACGGAGGAATGAAAGCAGTGGAAAAAGCAGCAGTGCAAAATACTAAAAAACGACCTCAGACTAATCCCAAGCAGCTCTAAAAAATAATTCCCATGTTGAAACCAAAAATATTCTTCCTTCAACTTATAGTCTATAATTAACTAAGTATCAGAAGAATGCACAACCGTATCTGGACAAGTGGGTTTCCAGAGAATCTGAAGACAATGCCACACAGAAATTATGAGGTTAAGCATGGAGTAAACCTAGTTATTCCTGCAAGGAGAGAATTACACTTTGTTCTGCAGTATACAGATATAAATGAGAACGAGCTAAGTAACTAGCAGTCATCAAAAATATGCGCAGTTCCCTGGTTTGCATGGTCATTTGTATTAAAAATATGTCTGCGATGCCAAATCTTCATGTAACAGCAGCAACATGAGGATCCTGTTCTATTTTCATCTACATGAGTTTTACAAGGATGTAACTCCACCAAATAAATTACTCAGGATTTCTGCCAGTGTGCAATGAAGATGCAGCACTTGGAACGTAAGCCCAGGGTCAGCTGGGCTTAGCCTCGCTTAGCTTACACGTTCAGATAATGACCTAGGCTTTGATATTTTAGGAGGGCTTAGGTTTGGTCTGGTAATTCAGTTTTATCCCTGTAAACGTAGAAAGTGCACTGTTCCAATCTGAAGAAAATTATGTTGGAGGGAGAAGGAAGAGAAGCTTTTAATCTCCCATTTGCATCGTATGCCTAAGCATCTGGTCTTTCTACAAATGTGTTTTTCTACACATCTAATTATATGACTCCTTCCCCAGTCTTGTAATAACAAAGCACCTCCAGGTATTTCAGGGTTACTGTAATGAAGGGTCATTATTCCCATTTTTACACACGGTGACGAGAGGCAGGGACGGCCGAATGACTCCTACCTTAGGTTACCAGGAGGACTATGACAGAGCAATGATACAATCCAGGTATCCCCAGTGCCGACAGCACAAGTACTCACACATCGTCTGGAGTCACTTGCATCGCTGCCCTGGCTTAAACAGGCACGGTCACTGCTACCACAACACAATTTGCACTGATAAAAGCTGTTCTTGCACTAGGTAAGTTAAAACTGCACAGTGCAGACAAAGCATCTGTGGCAGCAGTAGGTCACTGTTACAACGTTCTCACTGGAGCAGCTATTTAAAAGGAATAATAGGAAGAATAAGTTAAATGAATATATATGTTAAAGAATTAATTAGGTCATTGTTAAACGCTGAAAACAGAGAGAAAGGACAGGGGACGTATTACAGTTCCTCTCTAAATCATACCTTCAACTAGGAATGTAAGAAAAGGGGATGATTTGGGCTATTAAAGCCATGGTGGCATTCCAAGCCTATGAATCGTGTACTACAGTGTTATTACTGCCTTCAGGTCCTCCCTACAAAGAATTGCAATCAAAGACTTAGACTCTCTAACCTTTAGTTCCTATCTTCAAAGGCTTTCCTAATGGATGTCCTGACTAGCGCTATGGCTTCTAGGTCATGTTTTTTTTTCCCTGCTAGATTTTTGCGAGTACAGCATGGGTGTCCTCCACATCAAATGCATTCCTGCCGTAACGATCGCTTCATGCAATCCCAGAAAGCGACAGCAGGAAAACGAAAACCAAACTGCCTCACCTCCCTGCTGCCAATACTGCTCGAGACCTCGTAATTAGCTGGCACGCAGTTGATTGAAGAAGCTCATGGTTTCCCAAATGAGCAAGAGAAAAACCTTTGATTTGCCTTTTGATCGCACAGGGTGGTACCTGGCCAGACCGGCCGAAGCAGCAGCCCCAGCACCAAAGGTGATGTTCCTCCTCTCAAACCTTCCTGGATGGTGACTCCCCGCCCAGTGGTAGGGAGGCTGGAGCATGGACTGGAAATATTGTTGGAGTCACTGGGAGAAAATCGATGGGACAGCCAACAGGATTGCCCTCCTTGCAAAAAACAGTACACACAATAGGCTTGGGAAGACAGGAGGGAAAGTCCACCCGACATCCCCTAGCACTAAGGGATGTGATATAGGGAACTGGATATTCAAGGTCCGTGACATAATTTGTTTGCTGTTGTTGTTTTATGTTTGCCTGGTTTGTTTTCCAAGAACATAGGCCCCAGAAATGGGAATTTCCGAACCATGTTAGAGGTAATTTATGTAGCCAATCACCTTCTAGAAAGCCTAAAACTGTTTTTATTTCAGCTTACATATGTAGGAGTTGTTTAGAAACACATTGTTTATGACTTCTTGAATAGCCAATGAAGCTTTAGGTGAATCTAGAAGACAATCCACAGTATTTGTTTTGAAGGGCTCTTCAGTAGGGACTAATCATTTATCGTCATTCTTTCCTCTAAAGACAAAAACAGGGAATGTTTATAGAATAAAGAATACCTCCCTCCCCCCAGTAAAACTAAAAACTCATCCATTTATAAAACGTTTTTGGACAACAGTTCAGTTTATCACTCCTGCAGTTATAGTACTGGATTTAAATGGATTATCGTAATTTAAGGAAAGGATCATGAAAATTTAGTTTCATCCAGCAGATTTCAACAAAAATAACTTGTTCCAAAATTAAAAACAGAATTTGTTAGCTGGTACAGAGCAAAAATAGTATCACTTCGTATAAGCTATTTTCTTGATGTACTCAGGCAGCAGAAACATTACCATGTGGCAAATAATCATGTATCACCATAAACAAGGTAAAACTAATCAGGATAAACAAGTCAGAAACATTGAGTAGACTGATGCTTATTAAAATGAGTACGACAGAAGAAATTCATTGAAAATTCACTGAAGCAAAAAATAATGTTATTATTATTATTTTTTTTTAAACAGCCTAGAATTAAGACCTTAATAGATACTCAGACACACTGGGAGAGTGTCATTTCTCCATGTTTTCAGGCAGTGAGTACAATGCACAGTACCTGCAAATTGAAGTAATGTTTGGTTTCTTCTGAGATTCTTTTAAACTATCATTACACCAGGCAAATGAAAGAGGTCTTGGATTTGATTACTTGAGCTTTGTGTTGGCCTTCCCTAACTAGCCTTAAGAAGGGGGAGAAAAAAAACCCACACAGGATAATAAGAAATTCACCTTGATCTACATGTAAGATTGTTTCTTATGAAACAAAGAATTAAGCAGACCACACATTACATGCAAACTACAGCAGTCATGTAACTAACTAGATGTTGTCTGCTCCTAAGCACCTCTCCTTAGCAAATGACGACAACAGAAACCTGAATTTGGTTCTGTATGACAAGCGTACTCCTCAACCTCATCATTTCTACACTGAGTTTGAAAGAAGGCTGAAATGGAAAGAAGGATAAAATGGGTTTGCAGACTTAATACTCGTTTACATTTTGCTAGGTATGATGCCAATATGCTAGGAAATATATAATGGATAATGGTAACAGAGGTATGCTGCTCCTTTTAATGGATTGGGCTGGCGAAGTCCAACATGAGAACTAATAAATCCAAACGGCTGGTGTTTTGGTGGTGCTTGCATCTCATTCTTTATTATGTTATCTAAATGAAGAAATTACTGGGACTTGGTGGAGTTCCTTCCTCACACTGGTGAGGCATAGGTCGTGTAAAACCAACAGTAATACACACCGTCTCCTGGCGTTGGAAATAACAGGAATAATCCCTGTGAAATTTGGATTTTATTTTATTTTTTTTCTCTCTCTTGTCCCCTGTTCCCTGTTGCTTACATAACAGCTTCAAAGAGGCGTGCACACAGCTTTGAGGTAAGAAGTTGAGTGTTACGAGTATGAACAACTGGACTTTTGAGTATATTTAATGCAGTCCATAGAAGTAAAGCTGCTCTTAAGCTATTTTTCTATGAGAGAAAGCAGCCAGTGCCTGCCTTGTTCCCTAGTTGATACCAGAGTATGTCTCAGATTATTCTCATTACACATGGCTACTGCTCGCTCCTTCTATTCACCATCAGGAAAATGCTCTCCTCCTCCTCTCCTCAGGATGAGGAGGGAGATACGTGGTGCTAGGCGGCATGACATTGACATATCAACTATACCGGTGTGGTGCCAGAGAAAGAGGAAAACAGCAAGTGTAATAAAGCCCTGAACCTGTCCTTTAGCACTTAGAATAAAACAATTCTGATATTCAGCAGGTTTGTGCATTTGTGACAGCAATTCTGTCAAGCAGAGAGCAATGAAAGCAGTGCAAGAGCAAATATGTGGAAAGAGTGATCACAGAATGAAAGCACAGACTACCCCACCTCCAAAATAATGAAGAAAAAAAAAAAGTAAAAACACACAAAGCAACAACACTCAAAACAACTGCTTGTCTGCTTACCACCTACATCCCAACACATCCATTTCGTTTGTACTGCTCATCTGGCATCTCACACCCCGCTAACTGGAATGTTTTAATCATCCTGAATTAAATTCTAAAGACAATTTATCAGCTCACTCAGTCACGCAATGATACTACTTGCTTAGAGCCACATGACTTGGAAAAATAACACAAAACCAATCACATTTAGCAGATGGATAAAGAAAACAGGAAGAGTTCTTCAGTGGTCAGTAAAAAAGAGCAAATCCAAGTACAGCATAGATTGCTACGAAGCTACTTCTTCAAAATAAAAACATCATGGTAACGAATTAATGGGTTATGAAGGGAGCATTTACAAAATATTTTGGGGATTTCGACAAATGAGGATGCCTCAGGATTCTTAGAAAATAAAAAGCAAAAGAAGAAGCAAACAGATACATGCAGAAAGACAGCTCTGAACATTTCCCTTTCATTGGTCACTGGCACATTCAGTTTTATAGC